CACCCTTGAATTCTATGACTGTACAAGCTATTGATTAAGGGTAAGTTTGTGAATTGACGAGTTACAAATCCGATTCCCTCCCACCAAATTCCAATTCTCAGTCTCTTACCCGTAAGAAAGCGTTTGATTTAGAAATATTGAACTACTGAAAAGTTAGATTATTATAAATTATAAGAAAATTTAAAAAATATATTTGGTTAATTGGTAGATATATTATTAAATTAGGGGTTTTCAGTTTCGGGTACCCTGTATTATTTAAGGAATCGAAACTGGAACCTATAACAACAGTTCCGGTTCTGGTTCTTGGTACCAGTAAATTCATGACGCCCCAAAAGTTTTTAAAATAACAAAAAACCCTTAAAAACTTACAAATCCCCCCCCCCCCCCTAGAACTTGTTAACAAAATAAATTATAAATTACAAATTCCATTACTTTGTAAAGTAGATTCTCAAAAGTCAAGCCAATTACTTTAAATGTTATGAATATAAATATAAATATATTCACATTACTTTTTCTGCAAAGTTTTTATAACCCCTTACTTTTAATTTTATTTTATATTAGTCTCAATTCCCAATTCCGGTTCTGGTTCCTAACTATAAGAACTGGAACCAGAACTACCAATAAAAGTTTCAAATATTGGAACCAGAACCTATCCTTGACGGCCGATTCTGGATAGGAACTAAAACCAAACCCCGGTACCTGTCGGTTCCAGTTCCAATCGGTTCTTTTGAACACCCCTAATTTAAATTACTGTCGTCCTCTAATTAAATATTAGTTTATATTATTTTTTAATATTTATTATTATTTGGATTGTTTAACCCCCTTGCACTTAAAAACTTAGCAAAAACAACCCCATAATTAAAGTTTTAAAAATCAATAAAACATTCCCACCGACCCAACCACTGCCGGCCGCTGACAACCACTATAGGCCGCTGGTAGCCGGCAACCTAATGGCCAAAAAGCAAGAAATGGACAGGCGTCGTTGCGCGGTGGTTGTCGACGGCAAGTGAGTGGGGGTGGTGGCTTGGTGTATTGCAATTTGTTTTCAATTCAAAGGTAATTCTGTCCAAAAAGTTAATTAATTGGAATGAATAGTAAAAGTCATATTCATGTAAAATAAATTTAAAATAAGGATATTATTGTCCTAAAATTTTATCAATAAGAGATAAAATTGTAACAAAATAATACTACCCTGGTAATCTTAGAATACCTAAGAAAATAGAGATAATCAGATTACCTCAATATTACAAACAATAACTACTATTAGTTTTGAAGATTATCAGATTTTATATACTTACAATCAAATGTGGTAATCAAATATAAAATGACAACTCCAGTAATCCCACGTTACCCCTGATCAAACGCCCCTAAGAGTAATAAACCTTTGTGAAGATCCTTTAAAGCCTTTTTAACCATATTTAATTAAAATCAAAATGAATCTTAATATATATAAAAATCCAATCGTTGATTAGAATAATACATGAAACTTGCATTAGTTTTCATTCAAATCAAAGATACAATATTACTTGTACGAATTTCAGCCGGATAAAGACACGGTTTGGATATAATAGACGTGCTGACATAACTTACCAATTGATACATATCACAAGCAACCAAGTTCATCAGAGCCGTATTAAACATTCCTTTTCTTCTTTCAAATTCCCAAGGAAAGGATCAACACGAAAAGCATTGGGCTGCTTCCAACATTTCATTTCTCAGTATCTATAAGAGATTTAAGTTTAAATGAACATGTCTATGAGAAGATAAGCAACAAATTAACGAAAACAGGGAAAGCAGATGCATTATTTGTGAAGGACGCTTGCATAAAATTCGACAAACAAATTTGTGAGAACAAAGATGCCAGCATTCGGACAATATATATTCAATTCGGTTCAAGCTGTTTCAAACACACAAGACCACATACTTATAAGTTGGTTAAAAAAAATCCAGAACTCACATTCAGTTTCACAACGAGTATATAAAATTGTCTTTAGAGGTAAAGAACAATCGGCAACAAGTTCTGGGGAGACTAATCTTAAGCAAATGCGCCTTTTTCACCTTCAATCAAAGGAAAATCCGATGCCATTGTCATATAAGATATGCTTCAGATAAATAAGCTATTCCTAGCCAATTAAAGGTACCTGTGCACCATATTGGTAGTTAAAACAACTATAAAACCTAAAGTTCATAATTAAAATAGTAAACAAGCAGCGCCCCAACTTTTTCCCCAAAGAAGCTCCCTGAAAGAACCATATAACAGAACTTAAAACCTAGAAGCAACTAATAAAGAAAAGAGAAAAAGCAAAGCCAGTTCTTTAGATCTTCAGGCTTGCTTGGAACATCTGCACAGGCAGCAGCCTTTATATCCTGCAATAAATTAGAAACAACAGAACTATAAGGCAAGGCACATATCACACAATTCTGAACAACAAAATGATGCCAATAAATGTATAGAAACGAGCACAAATACTGACATTGCTCGAAAAGCATACATAGTATACTGTTGAGCAATACAAATGGTAGATGGTAATTTCAGAAAACCAAGCAAGAAATTTATGCAGTCAACCATCTAGGGCAGAGAGAGTTAGACTAGGTGGCCAAAAAATTGATGAAGAAAATTTGGCCATTTGGTCAAAGTGGAGGACTGATATACATTTGCATGTTATTTTTATATTTAGAAAGAAAAAGACAGAGAAATAGATTTTAAAACAGCTTATGTGGTATTATAAAAACCAGAAGTTTTTGAAGACAGATCTAAGCCAGATGAGCGAACTTAAAAAATGGAAATAAATAGAAAATTAATGCGTGGATAAGTGATACAGACAGTTTTTACACCCATGTGTAGAAGATTGCTGGATTGTCCAAAAGCTTAGTTCTCTGACTCAAAATGTGAGCAAGTCTCACAAAATCTTGCTTTATATTCATATTTCCAACCTCACTAATCTCAATAATGCAGTGTTCCATGTATCAGATTTTATTACTAGTGAGCCACATGACATACTAATTTGCACTAAATCTGTTTGGAAACAACAAATTTAGCGGTTTAAAGAAAATATTACTCAGGAATCATAAAGTTTGATTATTAATGGACGACGACTATCCTTTTAAACGCTGCATCTTTTACTTTTGAGAATACACAACTCAAATTGACACTCTCTCCAGCAACCCAATACCATAGTTAGTAACCATATAAGAAAAAATTACAATAAAAATTCATTGAATTAAATGAAGAGGCAAAAGCTTGGTCTTATAAATAAATAATGGTGTAAAAAAGGCAATTTTAAAGAAAATGGAATAATAGATTACGAGATTAACAGTTTGATAGAGAGCTCTTTGGGCAAGAGATTTCATGAGCACAGCCTCGAAATGAAACTATCATCAAATATTGAAGTATACAAGTTACACATGAAGAATACATCTAACAATCACATTTCCAGAAATCGTTTTTTTCCTTCCCCTCTTTCCAAGGGATAGAAGACAACTAGAAATCTATTATGTGCTAAGGAGCAATTAATTTACAAATTCAACCAACAGTCAGAAACATGGCAGATGTAGAAAAAGTCATAGTATACAAGATTCTAAACAGCCTCACCAGCAGAAAATTAGAAATAAAATGATGCAGCAACTACATTTCTGACCAAAATAAATACTTATCCCCAAACCAGGGTGAAGAGGAAGAAAAACCAAAATTTTCATGAACGCATAAGTAAACATCCAACCAACATAAAGGATTCTAATCCATGGTCATATACAACTATGCATAGATATAATGTAAAATCTGATCAAACATCACTAAAATGCCCTAGATCCAACATAATCTGATCTAAAGTCAACTGTGGCAGAATAAGCAGCACACTAAATTGAGATGGTATTGAAATGAGTTCCTTTTTCCATTTTGTAATGACAATTTGTTCATTGATCACAAGTACAACGTGGCCCAAACAAACATAAAACAAGAAACTGCAACCAAAAAAAAGCATGCCTGGTTCATAAAATCCAACAGTACAGCCAGCGAAATGCAGACTAATACCCATGTCAAACAATTGTCTCTTTGTATCTAATATTTCCTATTACCATCAAATTAATATAGAGCATCAGCAACTAAAACACAATCAACCCTGATTGATTCAACCAAACACATCAAATTAATATAACCCTCAAATTTACAAATACGCTTTGATGAATAACACTCCATAAAAAATGAAGCACGAAGTCCAACCCCACGTCTTAAACGGTTAAACCCTCAAAAACTTATATTTCACAATTCATAATAATAAATACATGTCAAACCAACCTCAAAACTAAAAAATAAAAGCATGCAAAACCTTAATATATAATGCAATGAGATCAAAATAATTACCTCCTAATTGTCAGTAAAATTCCTGCAAAAGACCCTCCCATCCATCAAATTCAACCCACCAATACTTTCTCGACCCAAAATTACTCTCTTGTTCTTCTCTTCTTCGCTCTCATCATAAACCACCTTCTTCAGCATCCTCTCAAAGTAACTCCGTACACATACTCTTGCTGTACCCACACTTCATTATATGACACAACGTGTCCAGCCCACTCCCACTCTACAATCCGACTCTATTTCTTCATGAAACGACACGCACACGTAGTGCTCTCCAATGGATATCGATTGACCCGAATTCGGTTTCAACGATTCGAGTTACCTCTGTGATTGCTGGATGATTTCTCTCTCGATTTGAGCCTCTTCTTTGTGTATTTGCGATCTTTGAGCGTTGTTGTTCGTGATGCTTGCGGCGGGCTTTTGGGGTTGAGGTTGTTGTTGAGAAGTGAAGCCGGTTTGGTTGTGGTTTAAGGAGATCAATGATTGAATCAAAATCAAATCCAAATGTTTGTAATTATATGAAGCCATTGTCGTTTTTAGGGGTGTTAACCGGAGCTTAACTTCTAAAATTATGTTGACTCGTGTGCTTTATAACTTTGTCGGATTTATAAGATGAGTTTGTAAGAAAAACAAAAATGGGCTTTCTGGTTCTTAGAAGTTAAGTGTTAAGACACCCCAAAACGATGCCGTATTATCAGGAACATTTACCTCTTACCTCTGCTAGGCCTGTCTTCACAATCCGCCGCTGTCATTCGCCGTCGCACAAATAACGCTTGGAGATGATGCACTATCTAAATGGCAGCGTTCGTTTAACCAGGTGGTTTTCGACTGGGAAGTCTCGCACAAAATTATTCATCGGAGGTCTCTTCTTTCGCCTTTTCTCACTTTCGAAAACTTGCTTTTCAGAGTTTTAAACTTGAATTGTTGTTGTTCTTTGCTCAAAAAAAAAAAAAAAAAAAAAAAAAGAAGTACTATATACAAGTTGGGGTGTGACGTGTGTTTTGAATCAGGGCTTTCTTATGATACTAATGAAACTGTTTTGAAGGATTCTTTTGGAAAGCACGGTGAAATTGTTGAAGGTGACGTCGTCGTAATTTTATCCCATATTATTATTGTGATTCTTTAGAATTACCAATTCTAATCTGTTAATTACATTGATGTTTGTATCAGTTAAAGTTTTATGCGATCACGTGAGTTCCAAGTCAAGAGGATACGGGTTTGTGCAGTTCACTTCTGAAGTTGCAGCTAGTGCAGCTATTAAAGAAATGGATGGCATGGTATGTTTGAGATTAATGAAGCATTGTTAAGTGCCAGTTTATTTTCAAATAAATAAGGGTATTGGATATTCATTTTTTATCTTATGATCATTTCAGTTACTGGATGGTAGAAATATTCGAGTGCAGTATGCACACAAGGGGTGACGAGTACTGTAAACACTGGTATCATTCCTCTAGTAAATTATTATTTGGTAAAAAATAATCTTTTATTTATTTGATTAAGAGAAGAAAAGCGAAGTAGATTGTGGGATTGGGTTATATCTGTTTTGGTCTCTGGATTCTTTTCGCTCTGCTTGATGTATGGTAACTTGAGGATGGCACCATTTGCTGGGTTCCAAAATAATTTCAATATGGAGTTTTGGCTGTTTGTGGAGTTATTTGTTCAATTTTAGATTTTATGGAAGCGGTGGATTTTAATTTGAACTTCTGGGTAGGTTTGGGTCAGTTTACTCCATAATCACATTTGGCATTGCATGAAATAGATGAGAAACTTTGTTAGGGAAATTGAGTATATGGGCTTTACCTTAAGTTGAGGCTGCTAGTAGAAAAATCAATTTCTTAGTCCCATTGTAGAACCTTGTAAGAATCAGAAAATGATCTCCTCTGGTTCCTACACGAGGAAGGGAAGTGAATGAAAGCAATGCCAAATTCAGTTCGGTATTCTTTTTCCACTTACGGTTTCTATATATTCAAGACTTCTATTTTATCCCTTGGCAGGAAGCACTGCTGCAGCACCATCACATCAACTACCAGAAGAACTCTTACAGTAGTGTGCTAGATATGTATGCTTGCCTGAAAGGGAAAAGATTGGTACCAGTTGTGCTACTCCTCTTGAATCACTTATTAAATTGAAGAACTGGTGAAGTCCATGAAGTGCAATGGTGTGTGCTTGCTCTCTCGAAGATTAACATATGGTAGGACTATCATGCATATGATATGTCATCAAAGAATAAACAAAACCTATCAAGCTCCAATGTGGATATGGGTATGGGTATATGTGCGGAAATGGATTCCTGAACAATTAGGATATGGCAAGAATGGACTCATTTGAAATTACTGAATCAAGAGTATTGTTGTTTGATACATGTACCATGTCAATACACCTCCTCTTTAAGAAGTATCCAGAATTGATGATTTGCAGTTTATATTTTCTTAGTTCAGCTCGCAATCATCCCTCATTCTCCAGTGTTCTGGTTGTAAAATATCAGCTTTACCTGGTATCTGATTTTCCTCCCACCGCAGCACACTTACATTCGTCACATTTGCTGCTGGTATCTGATGTTCATCAAACTGCAGTCTACCGCCATTTGCAACTGGTAGCATCATGTCTATGGTATCTGGCAGCAGACACCCCTCCCAGAACTGCATATCACCTTCGTCTTCCCATGCATCTGGCATCTCATCATCATTGTCCTCCCATAAAGGCATTGCACCTTGCGCACCAAGCTTCTTGTGCGTGTGCAAACATTAGCTGGGTTGCATCCCAAAACAAGAAATGCCTCTATTCGGTATTTTCAATCAAATTACAAAAGTGTATTGGAGTAGGCGTTCATTAATTACTTTCATAAAATTCTGAACTAACAAAAATGAATTCAACCATCCCTTCCCGGAATCTATCATCACCAGTGCATTGTCGACCTAATACTGGAATATAATAAATTATGAAAGTTTAAACTAAAACAATGGAAAAGAAATACAAAACATGGTAATAAAAAAAATAAAAAATAAAAACTCTTAAGCATTTGCAGCCTAAGTGATTGCCACCCAACTAAACTATTTGTGCCATCTCTATATACTAGTATTTTGTGTTGTCTAAAGAAAAAGAAGACAACAATGTGTTTTCTTTTGCAAAGAATTATAAAGACCTATATGATCCAGTGAGAAAATAAGGACTTTTTTGATATTTTGCATAAATCATCGAGAGAAAACAAGAATAGGCCTTCCTGGTGTATCATCAATAAAATTATAAATGAAGAATAATACGTATAACAGCATGAGGAAAGTTAAGACATATAAAAGAAAGGGAGGCTAATAGCCTGATAACATGATAATCCAAGAGAGATGCTACTAGTTATCTAAAAGGCGTCTTGAAGCGAATAAATGTGGTTCTGACATCCACAATACAAGTAGAATTCTGTGCCCGGAATGTCATCTTATTGAACTGTCACCATTGAAACATCATAGTTCAAGAAGGTGTTGCAGCTGTGAATGGATTAATAGTGCAATGGTCAAGTAGGGTGGCTGTGAAGACCTAGAATCTGGAATTTTGTGCCCGGAGTCTCATCTTAAGCATGGTAAAAAGGGGAAAAAGGCCCCAGAAGAAATGGAAAAAAGGCCGGAATAGCCCGGAATGCCACAATTTTGCAAACAAATAGACCACTTGTTTGATTCAGAAACATCTTGAAAACTGCCATTTTTTCAGTCATGAGCTAGGACTCTTTCCAGGATCTTCATTATTTGCAACTTCAACAAAGATCAGCTTCCCATTAACCATCTGGACAAAACAACAAAAACTCAAATAACTAGACTGGAGGTTTTATAGGTATTAGTTTTATAACATCTACAAACAGGTAAATACAATCACCAATGAAATGCAGTAAAAGGTTTCACATTTTGGAGCTTCCGTTGGAGAAGTGTGAAAACCCTGAATTTGGTATTAAAAAAACCAGTGAATGGGGCATATTGACAAAGAGCAACAACATATCAAATACAACAAAGAAGATTGCCTTCATACTGTTAACCCTTTTAGCTTACACTGAGTAAGATGTGGAAAGTCAGGTTATCTAATTACCTATACGTAGGATGACAAATTAATAATAGACACATCCATCAGTAGTATTTAGTAGCATATCACATGATTTTCATTGAAAAAATTTGGAATTCTTGTTAATAGGTGTTTTTGTCAAGAGATCGGTTCTGGCTCTTCAGGCCTCAGGGTGCAACCTGGCCTCTGCTTTCTTTTTTATTCTTTTTGAAATTAATAAATAAATGATTCTATACTACACAAATACTACCTAAATTTTGAGATACAAATGAACTCAAATCAATTCTTAAGCAAATTCCGAACAATAGTTACCTACAATGATGCACGATAAATATATAGAGACAAGCACAACTACTGAAATTGCTCCAAAAACAAACATAAGTTCACTGTTGAACAACACAAATGGTAGATTTAAACTTGTAATCGAGCCAAGTCGAGTCAAGTTTTTAACTCAACGAGCTAGGCTCGATTGCTACAAGAACGAGCTCGAGTTCAAGCTCAAGCCTGACGAGCCTGGAAAACCAGGCTCAAGCTTGTGTTCATGAAACCTTACTCGAGCTCAAGCCAGATCGAGCTTGAGCCAGGCTTGGTTACTGTAGTAATATTAGACTCTTGAAAAAAATTGTTGATATTAGGAACAAACTAAACAAGCAGTTTCGAGAAATAATCACAATGGAAGAAGCATTCCTCTCAGCCATTGCCATACTAATCCAAAAAGATCAACAATAACAACTAAGAAAAACACGGAATTGGTAGAACATTAAGAAGTATTCCTAATTGAAATCATACATTATCCGCCATAAGCCAAAGAGCTGAAACAGTCGAACAAGAATAACAATCACCATCAATAATGTGCAAAACATTCAATACCCAGAAGGCCGAAAGAACCCCATAATTGTAGGTGTATCTCTCTGCATTGTTCAGAACCAGAAACCAGCACTCAAAAGTAATGAAAACCCAGATGAAATCCAATCCGGGCTCACAAACCCAGAAAGAAAAAGGCAAGAAAATGTGAGAAAATAATGAAGGAAAATAATATCAGCCGGTGAAAATCGTTTAGGGATTGGGATTTTTCAGTTGAGTTTAGGGATTTCAATTGGAATTTAGAAAACTGGGGACAGATGAAAAAAGAAATGACAAAGAAGAAGAAGAAGAAGAAGAAGAGATGGGATGAGGAAGAGAGGAAGAGGGAAAGATGAGATGGGATGAAGAAGAGAGAAAGAAGATACAGGTAAATGTTAAAATCGTAAAAGAGAGAAAGAACAGACAAGGGAAGGGGAAAAAAAACGTAATATAGCTTAAGCTGAGATTCCGCTTGTTTGAACTCGTCTCTGACACTGTAGCCAAGCCAGGCTCGGCTGACACGCCTAGGTAGATGATGTAATAATCAGAACACCAAGCATGAAATTTATGCTGTCAACAGATCCGAGTACAGAGAAGGCTCAACGGAGCTGACCAGAAAAACTGATGAAGAAAATTTGGCCATTTGGTCAGAACGTGGAGACTGATATACATTAATTCTCATTTAAAGGGGAAAATTCAGACGAATGGAATTAAAAGGGAGCTCATGCGGGTATTATTAACAAGCCATAACTTTTGGAAAACAAATCTAAACAAATAGAATACAGTTTTTATGCCTCAGCTAATTTTCTAAACATCAAGATTCAAGCGTATTACATGAATGCAATCAATAATGTAGAACCTATACCGAATCCCTCTGTGCATAACTCCATTGCCCTCATGAATAAAGAACCTTATGAATTGAACAACAAACTCTTAAAATTGGCAACTATGCTAACTACTTAAAAAACTATGTTTTATACATAATTAAATTCATACGTGCAATACATGAAATTAACAAATAAATTCTAAAACAAGAGGGGTCAAAGCACCAATAGCCCACGCCATTGTTCCTGAGTTTTGATATAATCAAATACAAAAGTCCTTAACAAGGCATTTGCTGCTACTACAACAATTTACTGGTTAAAATAGAGTTGACAATCTATAAAAACTTAACCTCATCCCAACCCAATTCAAGTATTTTCACCATAAACCCTAACCTAATTAAAACATAATCAGCATAAAATTTACAAGTACTTCAACAAACACAACCATAATTCACGGACGGAATTTAGGGATTCCACAACAGACATTCAATTGAAATAACAATACTAAAATTGAAGAAAAAAAAATTACGAAATTATATTTCACTTTCATTTCAGAGCACAATAGGCATGAACATCCAGTTCAATCACCCAAATCCCAAAATACAAGAAAATAAGCCCTAAAAGCCCACCAAAGAAAAAAAAAAAAAAAAAAAAACCTTAAGAACATATTAATCTACTAAAATTAAAATTCTAACCCTACTTAGCTACACAGACACACAGTATCAATTAAATTGATATAAATTCCTTCAAGATGAAGTGAACTTGGTTACGGCCTTGGTACCCTCAGAAACAGCGTGCTTAGCCAGCTCGCCAGGAAGTACAAGTCTCACAGCTGTCTGAATTTCCCGAGAAGTAATAGTGGGCTTTTTGTTGTACCTTGCCAACCTGGAGGCTTCTTGAGCAAGCTTCTCGAAGATATCGTTGATGAAACTGTTCATGATTCCCATAGCTTTTGAAGAGATTCCGATATCAGGGTGGACTTGTTTCAGGACTTTGAAGATGTAGATCTTGTATGTCTCAGTACTCTTCTTCACGCGCTTCTTCTTCTTGTCTCCGGCCGCGGCCTCCTTCGGCAACTTCTTTCCGGCCTTAGGCTTCTTCTCAGCTGGTGCCTTCTCTGCCACCGAAGTTTTCTTCTCCTCGGCTGGCTTCTTCTCAGCAGGTTTCTTCTCTGCCTTGGGAGCCATTAAAATTGATTTTTTGCGGGTAAATTGAAAAAACTAGGGTTTGGATATTTTCTTTCGTGTTTGGATGAGAATTGCCTTATAAAGTGACAGATGCGTTGGAGGTTATATATAGAAACGAGACATGGAGTATAATTGGTCAGTTCGGGGTTCACGAGGATCGAGAACGTGGTGAAGCTGAAGCGTTGGATTGGACTTTGGGAAAGTAGTAAATCGACGGCAGATATGGCTCGAATTTAAAGTGTGCTAGTTTGTGACAGAGATTGATGACTTGGCATCTTTCTGGGTTGTTGGATTCGGTTCAAGTGTTGGGTGAATAGATGGTCGAGGCGGGTATAAGGTTTTAGTATTGGGATTAATGACGTATTAAATTTGCGCGGGAGGAGGACCGCCTTTCACACTTTTAATCCATTTACGGAAACACCCTTGAATTCTATGACTGTACAAGCTATTGATTAAGGGTAAGTT